TCATGAGGTGTCGAAGGGAAGAGGTATCAGAAGTTCAAAAACAAGCAATCAAATTGACAGAAAGGAGCATAGGCAAAGTGGAGACCCTAAGATAATTGGGTAGTCCCTTACAGAAGGGACACATGAAAGGAATGATATATCCAGGGTGTACTATAGCACCAATGAAAAAATATAATTATCTTCTAGTTCTTTAATATTTCCTCCCTTTACTATTATGGCCTTAGTTTATCTCGTTATATATTCATTTGTGTAATTAAGATTCAATGCGTGAAATCCAAGCTAGATGAAACCCTTCAGAATTAGTAATGGGAGTAATGATTCCCAGAGGGTATGGAAAGGGAGAGGGGAAGATTTATCTATTTATATATTTTTTAAAATGTGCACAAGCCTCCAAGTCTGACTGGAAATAAGAATATGTGCAATGGTTTAATTATAGAGTTCATTGTGATTTGTTTGTGTAACCCAAACTGTGGGAACCACCAAAATAAAATATCCACCAATTAAGAGACTGCTTAGAATCAATGTAGTACATGTATACCTTGAATATTATTTACATCAATAAACTGAAATTATGTGTTTGTTTACCTGTTGTTCATTGTTAGGTGCTGTCCACTTGGTTCTGACTCATAGACAGACCGGTGATGTATGACAGGACAAAACACTGCCCAATCCTCCACCAGCCTCACAATCGCCTGTTGGAGCCATTATGTCAGTTCATCTTGTTGACAATCTTCCTTTTCTCCATTGTCCTTCTAGTTTATCAGTCATGAGGTCATTTTCCCAGAAACTGGTCTCTCCTGATAGCATGTCTGAAACATGTGAGATGAAGTCTCATCGTCCTTGCTTCTAAGGAGCATTCTGGCTGTACTTCTTGCAAGACACATCTGTTAGTTCATTGGGCAGCCTATGATACTTCCAATGTTCTTCACTAGCTTCATAAATAACTCAAACGCATCAATTCTTCTTGGGTATTCCTTATTCAATGTCCAACTTTCACCTGCATATGAGGACGTTGAAAATAACAAGGCTTGAGTCAGGCATATCTTAGTTCTCAAAGTGCCATCCTTGGTCTTAAACACTTCAATGGACTGTTTGTGCAGGATATTTTCCCAATGTAATACACCATTCAATTTTTCGACTTCTGGTTCCATCAGCATTGATCATGGATCCAAGCAAGATGAAATCCTTAACAACTTCAATCTTTTCTCCATTTATCATGATGTTACCTATTGGTCCAGTTTTTGTCTCCTTTACACTGAGTAGCAATCCATACTGAAGGCTGCAGTCCTTGGTTTTCATCAGCAAGTGCTTCAAGTCCTCCCTTTCAACAAGCAAGGTTGTGTCCTCTACAAATCACGGGTTGTTAATAAGCCTTCCCCCAATCCTGATACATAGTCTTCTTCAAATAATTCAGTTTCTCTGATGATTTACTCAGCATACAGATTGAATAAGTATGTTGGGAGGATACAGCCCTGATGTACACCTTTCTTGATTTTAAATCAAGCTGTATTCTCTTGCTCTTTTTGAATGATTGTTTTTTGGTATATGCACAGGTTCCACAAGAACACAATGAAGTGTTCTGGAATTCCCATTCTGCTCAAGGCTACCAATAGTTTGTTATGATCCACACAGTCAAATGCCTTGGCATAGTTAACAAAACA